TTTTTTTTTTTTTTTTTTTTTTTTAGGAGAAAGAATGTTAATGCTAATTTTAAAATTTTATAAATATTTTTTTTAAGTATACTACTAACGTATTAAATATTAAAAAAATTAAAAAAATATTAATGATTTTTTTTTAAATTCAAAGAGATAATAATATTAATACTAATTTTAAAATTTTACAAGTATTTTTTAAACATAATATTAATAAAAAAAATAAAAAAGTATTAATGATTTAAAAAAAAAATATTTTTGAAATACTATTAAAATTGGTATTTGTGTAAAAAAAAATAAATAAAAAAATAAATGTTCAAGAATATTATTGACATTTAAAAAAATTCAGATTATAAAATTTAGAAATATTTTTTATATTAATTTATCCTAAATATTTAAATCAAGAAATTTATTTAATTTTTTTTATTTTTTTAAGACATATAAATGGTTAATTATTTATCATATCACGTGAAAGCAACCAGAAACTAACAAAGCAGGCACATACCAGAAAGCCACTCCATTTCTGTCTTCTTCTTCTTCTTCTTCTTCATTTGATCATCTTCTTTACTTCCTGCTATGGCTTCTCTGCAATCAGCGCCCGAATCTCTTCCTTTTTCACTCATATAATCACATTTCCGGGCATTGGAGTATCCACATTCCCAACCGCATTTCACGTGCATTGATTCTCCATTGTTGTTTTTGCCCAATGGCACTTCACTCCTTTTCCATTCTACTTCTGCCGCTCTTTTTTCACTTTATACTAACCTCCGCCGCTTCCCGGAGTAGTGATATTGCCGGAGGTGTGCGGATATGGCCGTTGCCGGCGTTGGTCACTCATGGCGGGCAACGTCGGTTGTGTGTTGCGAATACGAAGGATTTTCGTCTCAACACTGATGGCTCCAACTTCACAGATGCTTCTGGGATACTTAAGGAGGGATTCTTGAGGTTGCTTGATGTGGTTCGTGTTGGTCATGTTGTTGATGCTAATCTATCTCGCTTGGACTCCTCTGCTCTGCTTCTTGGAATCCATATTATTGTCTCTTCGCCTTCCGAAGAGGTATGTATGATTTTGTTGATTCTGTTTTTGATCTGTCTATGTTCTGCGCAGTTGTTGATATTGAAGTTTTAAGCCTGTTTTACATTTTCATTGTTTCTCAGTTTGTGGAAAATGCATTTGGAGTTTCGGTTCGAGTTCAATTCATGTTTCTTGCCTTTATCGAAGAGGATATTATAATGCATTTGAAAATTTTAACATACTTTTCACTTTCAAACGACTATGGTTGTTTTCTTAGTTCCGATTTTCTTGATTCTGGACGTTTGCTTCGATCAAATGAATTGTGATTTGTTCTGGAACGAAAATTATTCGCCATTGATTATTGTTTGACTTCTCCGAAATTTCCATGTGGATGGTGCAGTTACAATATGGTGTAGATGAATCGTACAGATTATCAGTCCCAGCACCTGCACCTGCACCTGGAAAGCCTGCCTATGCATATCTTCAGGTGGGTGAAACCAAACTTTTAGCTACTCGTTTTACTTGATAATTAGTCTATCAGTTTTTCCAGTTTCAGTTGTTTAAAAGTCATCAGAGGGAGAACTCCTGATTTTCATATGGATACCCTTTGTGTATGTGATTCCTGTAAACGTGTAGTACTCTATTCCATTACAAAAATCCGACATAATCGACTAGACCCAGTATGGTATTCTTTTGAATCCGGAATATGATGCTACCAATAATTGCTTTAATTCACATATGGCACATATGGCTTTCACCCATCAATCAGTTCAAGAAATGGAAATTTCCATATTCTTTTTTTATGAAAATTATGGAAAAATAAATAAATAAATAAGAGAGGTCAATCAATGTGGAAAAGAGTTGTTAAGTTTTAGTTGGCTTGTGCATTTTGATTCAAAGGACTTGTGTTGTAAATATTTTGACTAAATCTTGTTTCTTTTATCACGAGTATTTGTTGTTCAAATCTGTTTAGTTGGTGTTCTAAAATTGTGTTCTTGAATAGAATGAAAGTTTAGCTATATTTGGATTTTCTTTCTAAAATATACAATTGCATCGATTGTAACAATGATACTAGTTACAAAATCTTAGTCTTAAAGTGTATGTAGTTATGAATGATTTTCTTTTTTACTTTTTGGATATAAATTTGGATTCATAATATAATTTATTATGTGGACTTCAGTTGTATTCAATCAAAATTTTCCATAAACTGGCATGGTTAGTTCAACTTCTGGAGATAACTTTGTTCATAGTATTCAATCTTCGAAAGCACGACAGTCAGACTGCACGGACACCATGTTTTATATATTTGGTCTGGTGGCGAGGCTGAAAACTCCAATCTTCATCAAGTTCTTGTATCTTGAGTTTAAATATTTGGTCATCTTCATCAACGTCCTATATTCTTCACTTGAATATATTTTGCTGGATAAACTTTAGTTATCTGCGTATTTTATTATTAATGGTTTGCCTAATTTATTCTTGTAGCTCTGTCCCTTAACAGTTGAGTTCTTTCTCAAACTATGCAGGCTCGTACAGTTTATGGGGCTTTGCATGGTCTTCAGGTTACATGCTGAGACTTATAAATATGAAGGTTATAACTCTTGGCGCCTAATGGAATATGTACAATATTGAAAATGTCTTTTTAATGTGAAATTCTGCAGACCTTCAGTCAATTATGCTCTTTCAATTTTGAATCAAGGGCAATTGAAGTTCGGAGCGTACCATGGAATATTATTGATCAGCCAAGGTTCTCCTATCGAGGACTTTTAATTGGTGAGATGCTTCTGAGTTTTTCCATATCAAGTTTTGCTTTAATGACAATCCTTGAGCAAGAACGTGACATGATATAAAATGCATGTTGGCTTCCTTTCTCTCTGTTAGAATTTCTCGAGGTGCTCTTAGGCCTGTTTCATTTCCTTTTTTATTTTTTTAATACTGTAGTTTATTTATTTTCTCAGTGACTTGTCTCGTTTCTTTCTTTGGAATTATGACAGAAATTTGATATTTCAAAATATAATATACTTTTGCTTAATGAATGCCTACCTATACTGCCGCAAGATCTAATTCGGGTTCAATGTTTTCTAGCTTTTATTTATATATTTAGTTATTTTATGCAATATTTATTGATTTAAATAAGCAGTTTATGGTGGAAGTTGTTTCTAGGTTGAATTTCATGGAAGGACTATGCATGATGATTAGGCAAAAAGTATGTTTCGTGCTATTCGGATTGTTGAATTCTCCTCGTTCTTAAATAATTGCAGTGAAGTTTCAGATAATAGCCTATGTTCTATACCATTCAAAGCAGCGAAATTCTATATATTTGTTATGTATGATTTATTGGATGAAACTTGGATTGGGTCGATGATGCTTAGATAAAGGTTTGCCTTTCTCGTGTAAAAGGCAAGAGTATCTGAACGTGCCATATTTATTGGGAAGTGAACTTTCTGAATTATTTCATATTTTCAACATTGAAGTTTTAAATATAATGGGACTCCGTGGGATTTTTGTTTTATTTGTTAGACTCACCTCCAATCATGACTTGTTATCTGACCTGTAAATGATCTTCACGCAGATACTTCTCGACATTATCAGCCATTGCCAGTTATAAAGAAAGTGATTGATTCTATGGCATATGCAAAGCTGGTATAGAATTCATTATGTTTTTCGTTATTGTGTGATATTATTTTTTAGGCAATGCTCACTTGGTTTGTATAACTGTTGACTATTTTCAGTTTCCAACTATTCTTACCAGTAGAACACGTAAAATCTCATTATCTTTTTAGTTAAAAATAAGAAAAGGCTTTGATGTTATTCAATAAAAATGCCTCCAAGACTATTACTATAGATGTTGCCAAAATCTGACAAGGAAAAATCTCATGACGCTTGCCACACGAGCATCGATGCTTAAGCCAAAGAGCGAGAGAGAAAGAAAAGTGTAGTAAGCTGTAATTTAGAAAATGAAGTTGAAATTTGAATTCCCTTACTTTAAGTTATAGGATGTTTCACCTAGGTTTTCAATTTTCATTTATAAGATTCAAAGGGGTTTCCTTCTATATAGGAATTTGATTTGAAAAGGTTACTCTTGGGTTTCTCTTGGGTTCCTCTGTCTCTTAGTCTCTTATTCTTTTCCCTTAGGCAAGATTTTTCTCATTTTGGTGTGCAAGATAAAGCACTCTCATTTCCCACAAACAATGGAGCTATTGTTGTCAAAATCTTGCCTTGACCATGTTCCTCAACGATAAATTTGTATTTTGAGGAGAAGATATAACTTGTAAGCCAAAAAAAGCTAGGCACTGTGACAAACGCCACACACGCTTAAGTTAGAGAGGAAGAAAAGTGTGGCTACAAAATACAAATACAAATTTCACTCATAAGAACGAACAAGATACAAATGCTGTATTACCTAGATGAAAATCATATGTTGAAGCGGTTGGTCATTTTAAAATTTAAATCATTCATTCACTTTTCATCACTGTTGTCGTCCCTTTCACCATCTTTTGCCTCTTCCATCCATAATTAATCCTACTGATATTACAAGATAACAAGACAGGTGCATTGGTGCTTTAAGTGAGCTTGATAATTTAGCTGAAATTTGTACAGAGTGGATGGAGGGGAGAAGAAAAAAAAAATCAGTTAGATATAGACAGACCATATTGAGACGTAAATAATAACTGATCTAGAATACCTGCATTTGCTGCACTTCTCATCATTGCTTACAACCATCAACTTTAACCCCTTTTATGCAGAACGTGTTGCACTGGCACATTGTCGATACACAATCTTTTCCATTGGAGATACCTTCATTCCCAAACCTTTGGCTTGGTGCTTATTCTAAACAAGAACGGTATACAACTGCGGATGCTGAAGAAATTGTGAGGTGAGCATCCTTTTATTTTGGATGTGTTAAGTTGCTAACTAAGAATTAGTTTCCATTTTAATCTTCTTTCGAAGTTTTGTAGATACGCTCAACGACGTGGAGTCAGTGTACTAGCTGAAGTTGATATTCCCGGACATGCTTTGTCATGGTGATTACTACAATAGTATTGAACTTGTCGTCGACCTTCTCTCCTCTTCTATTATATTCATATTGTTAACTTGTGTGAGGAGCTCAAGGTTTTATTTCTCAGGGGAGTTGGCTATCCTGCTCTGTGGCCGTCAAAGGATTGTAAGCAGCCACTTGATGTCAGTAACGAGTTTACTTTTAAAGTAATAGATGGAATACTATCAGGTAATAACATCACACTTTCCTCACAAACTCTCTTGTTCTTTCCATAAAAATATTATAAATGCTTGGAAAGGAAAAAAAATTACATTCAAATTCTCAACAGAATTAAAAATTAGGGCTTTCACAAAATCAGTGCGAAGAGAGAGTTTGATAATAGTTTTTCTCAATTTCGATGATTTTCTATAAATTGAGTTTTAGAGAGAAAATTTAAACTCTTACAATGAAACTTTAATCAGTCAATTATAATTTTTTTTTTTTTTGAAATTTTAGAAAATAAATGCATTAACCAAACGTTCTCTAATTTGTTGGCAAGAATAGAATATTTTAAGGTTTTAGCTATTATAGTCATCAACTGGAATTCTTTATATACTTGAATTTGTGAGATGCGAGGACGTGTTACAACTATGACTGAAATGTGAGGATTTGTTTCTAGGAGATGCTTTCTATTAAGAGAAGATAAGATAGATTATAGATTAAAGGTGAGGACGTGTTACAACTATCCTTTTGATTCTTGAATCAATTTGAAAAACCTACAGGTTTGGACCAAGCATCTAGTTAAACTATCTTCATTTTAGGAGATAAAGTTATCATATCACGGTTCTTGTATTTCAGATTTCAGCAAGATCTTTAAGTACAGATTTGTTCACTTGGGAGGCGATGAAGTTGACACAAGTAAGTTGAACAATTGGGTTGCACTTTGTTTGACTTTAAAAGCTTCCAAAATACAATCAACTCCATGTCATATTTCATCTTTGAAGTTTACTTAGATCAGTTGAGAAAATGATAGAGAATCTTTTTATTTGTTATGAGAAACATTCATTCATTTTATTCTTCCCGCAAAGCTCTCTATGTCAATTTTTCTTCGAGTATCTTGAAAATAAACCATTTTATTAACTTGCAAAATGTATTATTCTGCTTTCATCACTCTTCTGCATCCATCTTCATAAACCTTGATCATCTACATCATACCATGCCCCTCTCAATTTTACTTGCAGCTTGCTGGAGATCGACTCCTCATATAAGAAATTGGTAATAATCTAAGACCTTGTCGACTCCTGTTGTCTATTGAGTAAAATAAATTATACTCAGGGTCAGGGTCCAATGTTCTCCTGTTCTCTATTTCTTTAAACAAATAATTTTATTAAATTTTTCCCTTGTCTTTTATAAACGAAGAATGAAAATTTACTGTTACTTTTATTTGTTCTTCTGGCAAGAAATGAATTCTATTCTAAGTCAGTTTACAAAAGAATGGGGACTTGTGTGCTTGATTTTGACTTTGGTACTTTCAAATTTTGAATTGCAAGAATCAATGTGTAGTTGAGATTGTTTCTTTTTAATTTGATTCTTATATGTAATTTTTTATGATTTCATCTAGGAGATAGTTACGTGGGATCAGTCAATGTATGAATATCTTAGTTTCGACATCCATAGTTATCAATGCTACATAAAAAAAATATATATCTGGAAGTTGCATTCATTGAGCATTATGCTGTCTAGGGATCTTTCATAGTAAGGGGCATCAAGCTGTATTATAAGTTATAACGTCTTTTCTATCTTATATGTATAAAGTCGTGCCATATTTCTTCAAATAGTATCAACTCACGATCTTTATGTGTTGGACACTGCCCATGTTCGATATTATAATTGAAGGATCAAATACAATGTGAACTGCTTGTAATCTTGATTTTAGCTCCAGAGCTAGGAATCAGGTACATGTCCGGATGAAAAGGGAGAGTGTAGAGAGTTCTCAAGGATAGGAAGTGAGAATCTAATGCTATTCTGGATAGCGTGTGCTTCTATATTTCTAGTTGGTTATCCCTATCTCCATTATATTCTACAATCTATGGTCGATTTTTCTGAATTTAACGATCATTTATATTTTCATTTACTCTGTATGCATATATATTTTTTTTCTGGAAACAATCCCTATCCTCCCAAATGCTGGCTTGAGATAACACATGTTTTGACTTTTTTAATGAACAGGTTAGAAAAAAGGGTATGAATGAATCCGATGCTCACAAGTACTTCGTCTTGCGAGCACAAAATATAGCTTTGTCTCACGGATATGAACTTGTAAATTGGTATGTGCTTCTGCTCTAGTTTAATCCTCTAAGGCAGTTTTCTGATCTTATCTACTCAATGGAAAATTTTCACGGAAGAGACTTTTAACGATTTTGGCAGTGAATTGAGTCGAAAGACTGTTGTGCATAACTGGTATGTTATACCTACTCTTATTTCAGCTTTTATAGCTTAAACCCATGATAGAGTATCAGTCCATGTTCATGCTTAATAGTTTCTTGAACTACTATTGGCATTCTTCAGTTTAATTTCCCTTTATTCTTGAGGAATCACTACCTTTCAAGGAATGTGTCATAATGAAAGCAATCAACTTTTTTTCAAGCTTCAACCTACATAATTGTGCAAAACATCTATTAGTGGCGATTGCTTCCATAAATCATAGTGATTTTCTATGTTCACCTTCAAGATTCTTTCCCCCTGAACATGGCCAAGCCAGAATTATACTCTTCCCAATACAAATTAGCTAATATGGAATATAGAAGTCTTCAAAAAAAAAAAAAAAAAAAAAAAAAAAAAAAAAAAAAAAAAAAAAAAAAAAAAAAAAAAA